TACACGACGTTCCTCCGACGCCATATCGTTTCTTACATCATCCCCAACAGTATACAAGGGTCTATAATCTTCTTAATAATTCAGACCGCACGCTGTCGTGTGCTCCATGCAGTTTTCAACATAAAGAAAGTTTTAACGAAGAAAAACATTCTAAAAGTTCCAAGATGCCTTAGAGCAGCAACTGGTGAAACTTCCGCTTATCAAACATTGTCGTATCATCGATTTTATCTGAAATTATTTCACGATACTTTGCCGGAATAATTTCAGTGTTCATCTCCTTAACTCTTTTTTTACCAATAGTTGTCACCAGTTTAAATTTGATATTGATATCGACTTAAAGAGATGACGATGTTAATATCCCATGCTTGTATCAACATTAAAATAAAAAATGCATCATGTGCGCACCACAAGATCTTTGAACTTGCTCGTCCTACCTTTGATGCAATTTACTGAGGGGGAAAATATATTGATATTTTCCTCTTTAGTATATTTTTGTTAAGCGACTCTTATACACATCTCAAACGTATCTTGCAAACAAAATTTGATGACAATTTATTTTTCTTTATCTATTTAACAATATTTATAATATTTCTCATGTGCGTCTAGTTTAATTTTAATCATAGACAAGATTACGCAATCAATTTTTTTCCATAGAAAATATAAACCGATAAATCATCATTTTTTTTTTTTTTAAATATACACGATATAAAATTTCGTGTAAAAAAATTTACATATAAATCCTTGCAAACGCGAATGGCAATTTACTAGAGTACCGTCATCATGTACGTAAGTCGGAGTTAGTCGATGAAGATAAATGATTCGTACGTGCGGATGCATATGAAATGAATGACGCAAAACAAATAGTATAAATCGGCTGAGTGTAGTTCACCTGACCTATGTAAGTCTCAATAGTTAAATATGTCACGTATCGACTTGAAACGGGGGTCGCGCCGCAACTTACGAGCATGGATCGTAAGTCGTATACGAATACTTTATTATTTAGGACGATAGTCCTCACCCTAATATGACGATATGATGATCAGTTAATTATACTCATTACAAATTCTTGTTCCATAAAAAATGGGGTTACAAGATTCTCAATATCGAGTGTTTAACACAAAAATATCGCGCATAACGTATCTAAATTAGTTATACAAAATATAAAGATTATTTCGTCTTTTCGTTTGAATTCATCGCAATAAACCAATGATTTGAATTATTATCAAAATACATATTTAAAAATTAATTCAAAAAACTGAATTTAGCGATAATTATGTAATAAATAAAAACATTTTGCAAATTATAGGATATTTTGATTAATAAATCATAATTTGTTTGGTTGTTCAGGCAACCGATTTTGTTGATTAGCGACAGCGTGGACTAGTTGTATTTTTGAGAAGAAAACAAGGCGGACATATCTTCTCACATAGCAATTACCGAGATCGAACAACGAATTTAAAAGCAAAAAATTACATTAACTTTCGTTTTTTGTGCTCTCTTAGATTTTGTCAGAAATCGATTGCACGGAGGTGAGTAGTGTGTACATTCTAAATTACATACGCGATAAAGTAATTCATATAATTGTCGCTAAATTGCCTTAATAACAATGTTAAATTAATTCGATTCATATAATAGAAGACCATGTTTTATCTCGGTATCTTTGCGGTGCTATGGTCGGCGATGACGTGTTCTCTTGGATTCACGATGGATCGTTCAGGTACCCGATATTAATCTTTGCTCTTATCTTTTCTTTGTTTGAATAGTCACATTTGTAATTATAATTGAGAACAAGAAAATACGAAGTGCATTAATTACACAAATTATTCAGTCAACTCTCGGCTTTGTTCTTCAAGACTTACTATTTCAGATCGCTACGCAGATCTCTATGCATGTCTGAATGTTTTTTCTCCCTTTTTTTTCGAGAAAATATAGTAACGTAATAAATATAGTCATACAAATGCGTAATGTGCATCTTTCAAATGCATTTTTTTTCAGAAAAATGCGCTGTTATTAAATACTTGTATTTACATACTTGTACGACTAATGATTTATGTTATACTTCACCAGCAGCGCTTGTGCCGCCCACGTGGGACATGGCGCCGTCTTTGGACACTTATCAAAGGGTCGACTCCGCGTTGAACTTCAAAACACAGGTGACAAGTACGGACAGAATATTGCAAGCTGTAGATGCGAAAGTGTCGGCAAAACTGACGGAGAGAATAGCGGATAATCAGACACGCGACAAGAGAGCGACAACTGAGAGTAGAGAAATCGGAATGAAACTTATCAATAACACGGCATCGACAATGAGAAATGACGCGTCTGATTCCTCTGAAGAAAACACTAATGTTGCTATTATTTCGCGAAATGTCATTCTGCTTTTGATTGACGAGAGAAATGAGAAAGAAAAAGGGGAAGAAAATCCGTGGAAAGACTACAAAAACAGACTACCGTTCGCGATAGAAGGATTTCTTCAAGTAACCCCTTAATCATATTAACCATTTTCCAAATAATTACAAAAAGTAAACCATAAATAATTAGATTTCTCTTTTTACATCTTTTTTCTACATTTTACAATAATTAGAACAAAATTTATAATATTTCTTGTAAAAATATATTTAAATGCTATTAATTATAATGAGAGCAGAGAATTCGCATTTCAAAAATATAATAACTCACAAATCAAGCAAATTAAAAAGATGCATTCATTTTTAGGTTGTGTTTAAGAATCTGACAGAATTATAGAATTCAATTTTTACAATTTTAATATTTGTATCGTGGGAAATCTGAATTATTGATATTAATTTTTTTATTCATATTTCGTAATTTGAATCTGAGATTCAAATTGTATAAAATTAATGTCGTTCAATCTTTTTATGTGAACGCATAAATGTCTGTATATTATGCATAATTACTACGTTAATTAGAGATGCAATAACAAGATAGAGACTAATGGTACCCCCTTGGATGGTGCATTAATTTCTGAAAACAAAGAAAAAGATTGCGATTGTGAGCGTATTCTTCGTTCGAATATCGGAGAATTGTTATCCTGGGCGAGACAAACGAGAGGAATGACAACAGGTTTAAGAGTTTTGTTTATCAAATAATAAAAAAATTTATTATCAAAAAAGTGTATATCCGTAAAATATATACTTTAGAGAATGTATGTTAAATATTAAATCTTAAATAATATAATGTTTACATTTCTTTTATCTCAATTACTAATTTTACGAGTACCATCAATTATATAGGCGCAGTTTCCGGTAGCAACTTCTCCATCCCGTTCTTTCCTAGATACAAATTTGATGTATCTAACGAAAGCAATGTAAAATTAGAACTACAGGAGAACAAACATGACTTTAACGACGCTTTGCAAATCATCGATCTTAGCGACGAAGCGAAATCTGTTCCTTCTTTAATTACAGCTGATCCTAAAACAGAGGGTGAGTTAAGATAGAATAATCAAAGAAACGAATAAATAAAAAATCTTCTCATAAGTTTTATTATTTTATTATTATAGTTAATATTTGTATAAAAAATTAAGAGCTTTTTAATACATTGTGTATAAATATAATTTTGAAATTAAAAGAAAGTATAAAAGAGATAAAATTAAATAATTGAACGAAACATTAATTCCGATAATTCCAACAATAGCTCTAAACATAAAACATTAAGTAATAAATAAAACTTTATAATTTTGGCTTAATTTATAAAGAAAAGTACAAAATTATAAAAAAACTTATTTTTTTAATTTTAGCAATGAATTATGACAGTACGTGGGACGTTTTTGATGTGTTCTCCAAAATTAGAATGGCAATCTTCCAGTCCCTGCTCGAATCGTTGAGTAGGAACCGTGTTACATCCGAGGACGATTTTTCATTGCATAGATCGTTTCCTATTAAACCAACTGTAACTAATTTAATCGAAAATACTATCAAAAAACTTAAGTCTGTTCCAAACCACAATGGTTACATGTTAGTCGCTGTCGTACCGAGAAGCGAAGGAGCTGCCATTGTCGATCTTATGCAACGCGAAGTAATCCTTGTTTTATTGAATATTAATAAATTTATCTCTAAATCTGGCTTATTGTTAGGACAATTTCACATAATATAATATGTTTGCCTTTATATTTCAGTAGTTACTAGAATATCTACATTAGATATATTATACATGCAAGACTAATATAAATATCGTAAATAAAACAATAAAGAAGAACATATTTATTCGTACATATCAATAAGAACTCTGACACACATATATATTAATTATTATTTTCCTGATCGATGCAGACTTCTCCGAAAGATACTCTCTTAGTTATGATGCAAATCTGTGCCGGGAACAAAAAATCTGTACCGTTCGTCGCGCAAGGACCGAATAATGAAATTCTTCGGGAAGTAGTAACGATCGAGGAACTTCCGATCATAATTAAAAAAGCGATCGCGAGCAATTTCCACGGTGCAGGATGCACAAATAGAAAGAGGCGCGATATTCCGATCGTCTCGCATCTGCCCATCGAGATTTTCTCGCAAGAATTGCCAGCGCGGAAACGAGTTGCCAGAGACAAGGATGCCGTTGAAAAACTGGTAAGGCAAACTGAGATTGTCATCAATAAATAATGATAATGTTTATTAAGTAAAAACTATTAAATATCACAAGTTTGATATTGACGTTTTTGTTTGATGGAACTTATAACGCTCGTATATAACTTGTTTTCTCGTAGAATAATACGTATTGAAAATATAAATATAAATAATACTGAGTTTATATATATAGCTATTCTATAATAGCTATTTAATTAAATTATTAATTATCATAATTGATAATATTTATTTGTAAAAAATAAATATTTAAATATCACTTTAACATTAATTACTATATCATCTTATATCTCTGTGCAGGAAACGAGTAAATTGACTGATATTGACATTAAAGTAAGTTTAATTTTATTCTTAATTCTTTATTGATGAAGATCATTCGTAATAAAAATTGCCATCGAAAGAAAGAATTATTGTATTTTTACAAAAATTTTTTTTTAAATTTAATTTGACAACCTCCTTATTCCCGAACATGAATACGAATGTTTTATGCCTTTTTCTTAGGATACTGTAAGCACCGTAAAGACAACAATTATCGAGAAAGAGAAACAAGCCAGAAGTTCGACTTCGTCCAAGACAATGCAATGTGGCCTCGCTACAGCGCTTGTCAGTGTCGCGGCCTCGGTCGTCGCCATGGCCGTTTAGGCTTCTTCAACGAGATATAATTTTTATTTCTATTTCTCCTTACTACTTTTCTCTATATTTATATGCAAGAAAACGCCGATCTCTCTCTATCAAGAATGCCAATTGAAAATTTTGATGATCTTTTTTTTTTTATAAAAGAAATAGCAGGAGAGAGAAAGAAATATATTGATTATGAGAGAGAATATGCGCGTTCGGGAAAATTATAATGTTATGTGATCACGATATTATATTTTTTACCAAATTCGTAAATAAACCTTAATGCAGTATATAAGCATTGTTATTCTGATTGCATCAGCATTGCACACTGATTGATTTATATTGTATTTTTCATTTATACAAAGCATCCGATTTCTGTCGACTCATATTTAAATAACGGAGCAATTAAGTTTACTTAGCGCAAACAGACAATGAAACTTTATATTCTTCGTTGAATTTCTCAGCAACTTTATTTCGGCGAACGTTTAATTTACGAGTTGCAAACTTATTTCAATATAAGTTAGAAAGTTAGGAAAGTGATTCCGACGTTCTCTTTAAGAAAAAAATTAATTTTAAATTCGCGAGAACACAAGGAAAATTTGTGATACATCAAAATTTGATCGAATTTAATTAAATAGAAAAGTAAACGCGTCAGTTCACGAAGACAAGGCTCTCTGACTCTGATGTAACAGCGGCAGCGTTTACCACGTGCGTTTACTCGCTGCAACTTTTTGCTCATTTCGGTCAATTTCAAAATCGCGCGATTGCAACCGGCACTTTTATACACACGCAAATTCCTTCGATTATGACGGTCGCCGCCGTTCGCGTAATTTTACGCTGGTGCAACAACGACGTAGCAACAACACGAGCCGATTATACTCGCGAAAGAAAGTAAGACGAGGGCATTGGGCGCTGACCGCGATTAGTCAGCATAGTAGTTCTATGCACTCGGAAGTGAATATGGTATAGAGAAAAATCGAGACAAAATCGCGATCATCATCTTTGCTGACTAGCGATTATGACAATAAAGTTTTTTTTTTTTTGCATTACGCACAGAAACAAGGACTCTGCACTTGTCGCTAATCAGAATTGCGCGTCACTTGATCTTACCGGGAAGCAATCTTATAAACCTTATAATATAACTATAAATAATTGATTAGACAATAAAATAAAATTGTGCAAAACATTTCGCATAAACGTACACCGAAGATTTTCTTATCGCAATCTACATATATTGTTTCAATATCTGATTCGCATATTATTCTCCGTGTGAGCGCAGAATATTTTTTCTACTGTCTCGAAAACGTATATGTAATGTGTTTAAAGGCGCATGTGGATCGATCCTTTGAGAAGAAAGTTTTAGATTTTGTTTATTAGAGCGAGAAGAAGACGGCGCTTGTGCATCAAGAGCGACCAAAACATGTGCGCGCTCACCGGTCGAGGATTTTCACGTTACATAAACGTACAATTTCATAAAGTTTCTAAAATCGCGGAATTATATTAAATGCAATAGCAATCGCCGCGTTTCGCTGGTAAACAAGACTGAGATTGCGAAATTGTTACTGTTGCGTTACAACGGGCGAATGCAAATTTGCAAGTGCGTCGGTTCCTTCGTCCTCCATATTGTCATTAGAATATGCAGCGGTTTGCAATATAGTGTTTCCGTTTGTATCTTTTTAGCTACAGAGTATAACATACAACATTTATATATATATATAAAAATTTATTTATATAAAAAAAACTGCACTTGTGGTTTAATTATCATAGATAAACTATAACACATATCGCGCTAATTATATAAAAAGTATCATATTTGTATAATAATTAGTCATTTTCAACGATGCGCATTCATATGTATAATTAGTCACTGTAACATATATATGGCAAAAGATTGAAATGAATTTGATTATTGCTTTATTATTCTTAAAGAATATGTTTTATAATACACATGTATAAGAGATGTAGCAAATAATCGTTTCTTTTCGAAAAAAGCAGGTTTTTAAATCCTTTATATCAAGGAGCAATATAATTTTCTCGCGAAACACTATAATTCTCCATAATGATTTTATAATGAGCAGCTTCGCGTTTTGTTGAAATCATTGCAAATAGATTATTCTATCGGTTTTTTTTTTTTTTTTTTTTTTTTTTTCACAGGACGCGCGCATGCTTTTTTTTTTAGAGTCTGTAAGAGAGTTGTGTATGTGCTCAAAGTTTTGCACTACGTACGTACATTACTGTCCTTTTTTTTTAAACGTGAGCTTTCAAGTAAAAATTTTTTTACATTGCCGAAAGTAGTAGAATGATCTCATTTGATTGTTCCATAAATTAACAATAACGATCGTTAATTAGGAATTCCCCTAAAAATCGCTTATTGATCAGATTTTCTTTCTACCGCGTATAGATAACGGTAAGAGAAGCGGGAGTGGGGTATCCCTACGGTATAAAGGAGAACCGGTCCACGAGGTAATTGTGGTTCCCACTCTGTTCGTTTGCCGTCTCTCGAGTTCGCTACTCTGCTCATTTCTCTTTCCGCAACAATCCGAAAGTCATCGTCGTCGCGATCGTTCGCACGTCGAGTGTCCGTTTGTGCGTCTGATTCGTGTTGAACATCAGCCAAGGTAAATTTAACTTAAGTATACGTCATGTGTGTATAAAAAAATAGTTTTTTTTCTATTTTATAAATGTTTACGTCATGATTTTATGTTAAGTCAAATTAAAATTATTGCACTGTATATTGTAATCAAATTTACGTTTACCCTCCAAGAAAGATATATATTTTCATCTTGCTCGCGATGCCGCTTAATTTTTGTGTGGTTATATATAAAATAAAATTTAAGGGTATCTCGATATGCCAACATAAAAATAATAACTCTGGATTAACTGATTAATCTTTTACAAACTAAAATAAATACTTTCATCTTTATTTTAGATGTATAAAAGAGTGTGAAGGTCATAAAACATAAACAGTTAAAATTAAATTTGCTTAATGCTCATAAAAGTATTCTCTTCTTATTACTTTAAGGAAGATCTGGACACACATGGTGGAAATTCGGATATTTTATATGATAAAATAATATTTCTCTGAAAATATAAATCTTTCACTAAAATAAAAATATTATCGCATATATAAATAAATAAAATATTACATTTAATTTTATCTATTTACATCGACACAATGAAAATATCTTATATTAATTATCAGCGTTTTTGAGATCTTAGATTTTATTTATCTTGTTGAAAATATCGAGATCTCCCACATGTCAAAATGTCTTTAAATTATCTTAATTATTTACAACAAAAAGAAAGACATTAAATGACTTCAACATGTTATTTTTATTGTGTCAATTAATTTCAAATTTTACCACGGATAGTCTTTAGCAACCTAATTATTATTAAAATTTAAATTTAGCATAAATATCTTATTAATTATACATTATCTAAAAAAAGATTTTTATGGAATTTCTTAAATTTGCATCTTTTCATCGCAAGATTACAATACTATGAACTTTATCCTATCACTTTTAAAACGCTCGTAAACTTTCACGTTTGCCAAATTTTCCGCGTTTTATCTTGTGGCCAAGAATATTTATATGGTATGTAATTATTCTGTAGAGAGAAAATATTATATTGCGTTAGAGAAATTGAGAAAGTAATTGAAGAAAATAATAAACTTTTCAAAACTCTTGCTTTGTTTTCTCTAATTTTTTTTAAATGACAATTTTGTTATCGAGCTTTACACAATTGTTCTTTCAAATGTTACAAAATTTTTTATACAGACAACAATGAGATATTGTAAACTTTTTGGTAGCTAATGGCGCTGAAAAAAAGTCGAAGAAAAAAAAATATAGCAGAACAATGTCGCCGCTTCCAAAACGAGAAAAGATAAAGGCTAAGAAACATTCTCTTTACTTCTCAATCCGCGAAGCCGCGACGAGTTTAGAGAAAGTTTTGGTTGAGCAAGTCGCTTTGGTCAGCATTAATTCTTGACATAAGAACGATGGGTATCTTAACCGGTTGTGTAATCCATGTAGTGCACATTACATGTAATCGAACACGTGCAAACTGAAAAGAAATTATACAGGCATTATGTACAATGTGTGTGTCCGATTTATTCTCTGGTTATTTAATTTTACGCTTTCTAATTTAGAAAAAAAGAGAATACTGAAATTATATTTTATAATAAATTTTTATTACATACAAATTTTCTTGAGTATTGCTGATCCGCGTGTGTGTTTTTATACTTAATATTTCTTACTACGATCTGTTTGTAGATGTTGCTGGTACAACCTACAAATGAAATGTCTAAGCAGATACAGGTTGAGCTGAATGAGAATCCAGCGACCCGTGATAAGGACCTCGAGATGATCAAGGAATGGCTCGCTAAACAACCTCATTTACCTCAGTTTGATGGTACATTTTTCGATTAAACTATCAAAAATTAGTCACAAAACACGCATCATCCCAAGTTCGGCGGGCTAAAGTTTTTTTTTGAAGAATCTATAATTTGCGACTAAAAGCGAAAGAGAATTCTGTTTGCGATTTTATGTGTATATCGTAATATAGAAAACGTTTGATTTGGTATATTATGGCATTTAATATTAAAAATACACAAAGAGAGAGAAAGTCAATGCAAGAAGTAGTGAAATATATGTAAGGAAATATTGAAATTGTACGATATGCTCCGGAGATAGTTTAATGTTCCGATCATTCTCAGAGAGATGCTGAAATTTACAAGACAAATATTAAATTTAATCACTAAATTATATAGAGACTCGAAATAATGCAATCTGATTTTTCTTTTCAGATGATCAAAGAATAATGACGTTTCTACGCGGATCCAAATTTTCTTTGGAGAAATGCAAACAAAAACTGGACATGTATTTCACGATGCGTGCAGTGATTCCCGAATTTTTCTCTAATCGTGACATAACGAGGCCGACGTTGCAAGATGTAGCGAAACATGTGTAAGAAAATATAGTGACTGCTGGTGATAGTTGAAGGTTTCAATCATTCTCAGAGAGACGCGCGGGATGAGAAATTTATATAAATTTACTAGATAAATAATTAATTTTTTGCTTCATCTTCTTCTTCTAGACAAATGCCTGCTTTGCCTGGTTTAACAAAGAACGGACGTCGTGTGATCATAATGCGAGCTATCGTTAATAAAGATCAGCCAATAACCGTATCCAATATCACGGAAGCTATGAAGGTACACATTTATTTCTCGGTTATTGATGGTGCAAGTATGGATTGAAAAAGGAACGCGCACTTTCCTCGAATCAACTCAATCAATCCAATTATTCTATAATATACCTAAATATCAGCAATCAATTCTTTAAAATATGTTTTGTAAATGCTTGGTTTCCTTGAAAAAAATACATTTTATCGTTTATAACATAAAACAGAATTAAATTCGTTTATTATTTCAGTGTAAAAAGAGAAAATTTTTTATTATTGAAGAGTATATTGTATAGAATTTTTTTACGGTATTATTATTATTATTTTTTTTTATTAATACAGTATCAATAGCTGAACCTACTCAAACTATATCTATTCCGATCCCGGTATTTTAAAAACTACAATTTTACATCGTACGTTAATATTTTATGCTCATATTTTATTTTCTCTCTCTCAAGTTAAGATAACAAATATACTATTGTTAAAGATGGTCTTTATGATCGGCGATGTGCGCCTCAAGGAGGAGACCCATGGCGTTGCCGGAGACGTTTATGTCTTCGACGCTTCTGTCGCGACGCCCTCGTATTTCGCCAAGTTTACGCCGACCTTAGTAAAGAAGTTTCTGGTCTGTGCTCAAGAGGCGTATCCAGCAAAAGTGAAAGAGGTGCACATAATAAACATCAGTCCTCTCGTCGACACGATTCTCAATTTCGTCAAGCCATTCCTGAAAGAGAAGATACGCAATCGCATCTACACGCACAGCAACATTGAGTCACTCTACAATCACATACCTAAGGAGATACTGCCGACTGAGTACGGCGGAGACGCCGGCCCCATCATTGATATGCACGGCACGACATTTTATTAATTTTATTAATTCAAAATTATAGAATGTATTCCGGAATGCTATTTAATTTTAATGGCAATTTCTTTGAGTTTCTTGAATAGTTTTTGTTTAAATTTTTCCTATCTTTGCTATCATTAAACATCTTTATTATAAAAAGGCTTCTGACTTATATAAGATATAGTTGTAATCGGAATAATAATTTGGATAAATGCGTAGAAAATATGTTAAATATTTTCGATGTTAAAACAAGCTTTCTAACAAATGTTGCTCATTAATTTTTAGAGATGTGGCTGAAGAAATTGGAGGAATATGGACCGTGGTTTGCGGAACAGGAAGCTGTGAAAGCTAACGAGGCCTTACGACCAGATAAACCAAAGACGCAGGACGATCTATTCGGTATCGACGGATCTTTCCGGCAGCTGACCATCGATTAAATTGATTAATGCGCCACGAAGTGTGTCGTCAACGTAATCATCGCCAACGGCAATCGTTAATTAGAACGTTCGTTCGCGTTAGGAGCAGAAACTTCGACGTCGACCGATCGTACGTTATGCTTGTGTGATGAATATTTTAATGCATTTTCCTTTCAAACAATTATAATCGAATTATGAACTTTTGTATAGAATTTATACACGATATCGATTTTCTTCAAAGTCGTTTACGACGATAATCAATAAAAAAATTTAATTGGGAAGCTCATTTGCGGAGAATAATAGAGATAGCAAATATTCTGTCAAAAGAAATAACGCAACGCTAATAGAGTATATTTTGCATTTTTTATTATTAACGGCAGTTAATTTATTTTTATAATTAGAAACGCTCTCTAATTACAACATTGATTATAATTTAATAAAGCGTTGTTTAAAATAATGTAAAAACAAAATATTTTTTTTTTTTTACATAGAAATTTATCTTATTACATTATTAATCTCTTGGATAATACCGATGACTTCTGATGAGATGTATACGCATAGTTATAATAATTTGATATTTCAGCGTCTCTCTGAGAAATTTATGTGACTGAAATGTAATATTTTTATATGTGTAAGATTATATCAATGATAAAAAATATGATACCAAAAACATTTTTTATTTCTTGAATCACAATGTGTAATTGATATATTTTAAACAATTATTTTATTAATAAAACTGTGTATGCGTTGTAATACGCTGGCGTTATTTATCGTTTACGCAATATATTTTTCAATTTGAGATATCTTTTATTGATATCCCATTTCGAGAATTACGTAAATAAAATCTCGAAATAAAATGTACGATTACAAATAATTGAATTAAAATTGAGTAAACTTTTGTCATTAATTTTCCACAAATCATATTCTCTTCACAGATATATTAAATATGCAAATTCTTCTTGTTCAATATAAGTGATTCAGGTAATAATAAGTACATGATTTTTATCATAGCTTATACAAGAGATCTATACGTGCTTACATATTACAATAACAAGTTGATAACTGAAGTTGCATGTCAGAAAATAACGTAAAATTTCGGAGGCCTTGTGGCAAAACGCGAGGATTGCCCGAGTTCTCGGAAAAAATGAGTTTCTTGAGACCAGCTGCGATGTTGATTGCCAGTCATTAATTTTTCTCGAAGTGGAGCAACAAAATAAGATTCAATAAGAATGTCATATCCAGTGAAAGCTACACGCGGACCTAACCGTTGTGCTAAAATTACCCGAGTTTCCATTTGCGTTCACTCGATTTCCTGGAATAATTATCTCCACCATTGGGTTTTGATGATTTAAAAGCTGTCAATGAGAAACCTGACCGGCTGAGAAGTTTTACTTCTGCTTTTTTTAATAAGAAGATTGGAATAATTATCTGCTATATATAAAATCGATATATCGTGTGATCTTGCAAGTTTTATTAAAATTATTCCATTTACTTTTGTCGTCACTATTTAATATCATAACGATTGTTCAACATATAGCAATTAGCGAATCAGTGTAAATTATTTATTGAATTATTTGTCTTCAGTTTTTCAAATTTTCTTTCCAAAAACATTTTTTCTTTATAACTTAAAGATCTATATTGTTCCCAAGAGTTTAATTATTGAGAAATCTTCACTAAAAAAGATACGTGTGTGTCGTTCTGGTCTCTAAATATGGTTTCACGAGGTCAATAATAATTTGATAAGTGCGACAAACAAAAATTAATTTCTTTGAAGTAGTATCGCAATATAATATTCATCGTGACATCCTGTATGCAAGACAGATATTCGCCTCTCTTCCCGTGCAAACGCGTCCCCACTTCTTCGTCTTTTCAGTCGCTCGCGATCGTCATTGAACCTGCAGTCAGTCAGTCAGTCAGTCAGTCAGCCCGTCAATCAGTCGCTTAGTAAGTTTGTCATTCGATCAGTCAATCGATCGAACTTTGTACAATTCGGTGCCCAATCAATAAAATGTATTGATAATTAATATTCAATAATATAAAGTGTATAATAATCATTTAAGCTTTGAGCAGTTATTTTTTGACTTACTACAACCACGAATTTAGTAAAATATTAATTTGTGAAAATAACTGTGTGGATAAAAACGTGAAAGTGTATGTTATTAAAAATTACCTTTAGCAATCAATAAAGCTATCTACTTCCGCTAATATCATTTAACAGATTTTACACTCATATAAAGAAAATAGAGATCATTATTATTAAAAATACATTAATAAAATTTGCGACAAACAATAAATATTATAAAATAACAATAAACTCATTAAATAATAAAATAAGAAAGTATATTGTACAAATTTATAAAAAAATTTATTGAGACTTTTTTTATTATTATTTTTATAGTCTCTTTCTCCGAAGTGTAATTGTTTGATAAAATCTACTCTCTTTTATTTTGTTAGTCAAATTTAGAAAGACTCGATTTTTTAAGTAAAAGAATCCTGCCTAATTTTCAGAAAATATCAATTATTCGATTTCTTTTCGCTATATAATATATGTATATGACATACGCGATCGCGAAATCATTGAGCGAGTCTGCCGAGAAAGAATTACTACTTTTCTGACGGATGAAATTGTCGAGTAATTATGGTGCGAGTCAATGTAAAAAAAGAAAAGTTCACAACTAATTATTCGTATTTTGTTTTATGTTGCTTCAACAACGCAGGATTTCTCAATAATTTCTCGAGTGCCTGCATAAGTCCACTAATTTCTTGCTTTCTCCCTCGTCAGTCGTATTGCGCGAATTTACTTAAAATAGTAGTCTCACGTAAACTCTCAAGTAAAGAGAACGGACTGTATACATTTAAATATTTTAGAAAACTTCTCAATTTAATTTTATGTATATAACCAATTTCTCGATTATAATATTGTGTCAATAAAATGTAATATCTTTGTAACACAATATTTCCAGTCATAAAATTAATCATCTACAGTTTGAGAATTATCAATCAAGTCAATAAGCCCATTCGTGCTATAATAATTAGTGATAATTAGTCTCTGAATTTTTTATCCTCATCCTGACGTAAATAATTCAACAATGATACGTATTGTATAATAAAATTTTCTTTTCTGGTTCAATTCTCACACTCATTAACGTTATCAAAAGTAATCAAAAGCCTTCGTTAAAAATACATAACTAAATATGTTGCAATTTTTATCGTTTTTGTGGAAAAATAAAATATGTTAAGATATAAAAGTTTATATTGAAAAGTTGAAATCGTTACTTTCTTTGGTACGTGCATCCTAACATCTCTCAAGCAAATTATTTTGTAATAGATTTTAATAAATAAATTTTACAGTCCTCGTACAAAATAGAAAATATAGTATCCATGTAATTGTTTTAATAATATTTCATGCTCTGCGATTATGCGCTCTTTATTTTCTTAGCAGACCTGCAAATAATTTTCATCCAGTTTTTTCTTTCTGAATATATCGGCACGTCTAGTCCAGTATTTAATCTTAAAATCTTTTTATTTATTTTTAACATCCACTTCGTCCAACGGTCGAGACGATCCTAAACATTCGTGGAATTTAGCTTTTCTAAGTTTCCAATAATCTTAAATAATACTGCATCAGAAAACTATTACGTGAAAAAATATCTGGCGCAGCATTATAACTATTTTTTACCTGATTTTTTACCTGTGATGCGTCGCGATCTACAAACGCGTTTAGCTCTCTTATTTTTACGATTTCGACAAAATCTTTGAGGAACTTATTTTTGAGACCTTAAACATTAAAAAAAATACAAAAAATCAATTTCTTTTTAATATTCTAGACTAGAATATAATCCCGTAATACTCATCAACTGCATATCATTAACTCGACGTTTGCGTAAAATAAAGTGCGCGATTAATGTCGAAAGTATTATGTAAAGTACCACGTATCCTAGTGATAGTGCGCGTGCCATTGTAATTACCCGTGTTTTTGCAAATGTCGTATTATGAAGATGCAGCAGAGAACAAACAAGAGAAGAGGTCACATCGAGCGACGGCAAAACGACCATAAGAGAGAGAAAGAGAGAGAAATTAAATTAATTTATAAATTATATTTTTTAAATACAATCTTATATATAAAACAAATTTCAAAGTGAAGTTTTTTTTATTAAAAATTTATTTAAAGA